AATTCATTCATTTGATTGGATGAGGTTCTGTTCTAAGTCAGTAAGATCATATGAAGAAAAATCTTCGTCACGAAGAATGGGCTCCGCTTCGCTCCGCCCATTCTTCATGACGAAGATTTCTCTTCATATGATCTTACTATTACGTAGAAATGTGTTTGTAGAGAAAACCCAAGCCTCTTCGGTGTCCCTGAAACGTTAATTGTTTAATGTTAAGCTGGTTGAGTAATCTGCTCGACTCTGCGTAAATGCAAAACCTGTTATTTATCATGTTTATCTCGAAACCTAACATAAATTTAACATTTTGTAAAATAAAAAAAAAAAACAAACAAACAAAAACAAAAACAAAAAGGAGCTGAATTACACTGAGTAATATACACATTAAAGTTATATATGGCGTATCTGAGCTAAAAAATAAAAATACGAGATAAGCACGTATTTATGGAATCCGGATAGGGCCACGCAGTTCACTATCGCATCATCGCACCATCGAGATTTGAGTCGATGGTACGATGACGCGATAATGCGATGACGATGAAGCGATGGTGCGATACCGATGAAGCGATGACGCGATAGCGCGATGACGATGATGCGATGGTGCGATAATGCGATGGCGATGATGCGATGGTACGATGAAGCGATAATGCGATGACGCGATGGCACGATAGCGATGCTTCGATGGTGCGATAGCGATGATGCGATGCTATATCGTGTCTATCGCACCATCGCAGCATCGCTATCGTGCAATCGCGTCATCGCATTATCGCTTCATCGTACCATCGCATCATCGCCATCGCGCTATCGCGCCATCGCATCATCGTCATCGCACTATCGCACCATCGCTTCATCGTTATCGCACCATCGCTTCATCGTCATCGCATTATCGCGTCATCGCACCATCGACTCAAACCTCGATGGTGCGATGATGCGATAGTGAACTGCGTGGCCCTATCCGGATTCCATACGTATTTGTTATTTACATTCAAATTCAATTTTTCACCAATTTTGAACTTAAATATCCCCACATTTCTATTAGTTAAATTGACTTTAAACTGTCTGATATTTATTTCCGAGTCGGAAATAAATCGGTTATTGGTTTAGATCTGTGATATCTATGAAACGCGATTGATTTAAATTGTGTAATTTACAGGAAAGTCCTATCTTTATATAAAGTAACAAAACAAATAGAAAGCTCCTTTTTTAATTTTAGTTAGTCTGAACTTATCAAAAATACGCCATATATCACTTTAAATTCAATTTAACTTGGAAATTGTGGTAAAAATACTTTCAACAGGAAGCAATCCAATCTACGACATGCTCACGACTATCAGCCGTATATTCATCATGTGTTACATCATTGAATTTGTTTTCATACGCAAATCCTTTTAAATTTCTATTTGAAAATGAAATGAAAAAAAGATAAATAATGATGAAATAAAAATGAATTGCAGTGAAATAACTTAAAATATACGCACTGATTTTTTTCCCGTATCACGGAAGTCGAATTTATACCGTTACGGTTCGATGTTTAACAAGCGCATTTCGTATCCGGTTTTGAAAAAGCAAGTTGCACGAGGATTGCTGGATGGAAAACTTTTTTAGTAAAATTAGAAGATTTCCATAAAAACGGGAAGCATTTCATGAATTACATTTGTGAATAATTTCTCTGATTTTCTAATAAATAATATGTTGACGGGGTGAGTTGGCTGATATCAATCAGCTAGTATACACAACTTTTTTCAGTTATTTCCCTTAGTAAAATTTCATCCCGGTAGGGGTCGCAGAAAGCAGCCGCCATTGCATCCGTGACGCTGCATAAACAAACTCCGTAGCAACAACATAGGGCCGGTGTCGGCGAAAGTACGTACTGTTCATATGTAAATATTAGCGCACAAACATCATTTAATATATGAAAATCTTGTAAATTCTTTCGTTTGCCTTAAATATGAATCAATATCAATGTGAAAATTGTAAAGATCGAATTATTTCCTCGCCAAAAGATGTCAAACCGCGAGAATGGAAGGACGATATGCGGGAGTGGCCCCAAGTTGAGTATGGTGATATTTACAATTATTTAATTTTGAGTAAGGCGTGTGATGGCCAAGGGATGAAAAACTACAAATCTTTGGACAGTTTCAATTATTTTAAAAGTGGTTCCGTGGGGAAAATTCTACATTTTGTTATCAACAAAACAACAGTTGTTTTAAAATCTGAAGTACGCCCCTCACAAAAAGTCAACTCGGAGTTTCATAATGCATGGATTATATGTGACATGGTTGGCACGATTTTTAGTGCTGGTTGTTCATGTATGGCAGGGAATAGTAAAACGTGTAGTCATGTCGGTGCTGTGCTATGGAAAATTGAATATGCTGTGAGGTCAGGACTAACAGGCAAATCCTGTACCGATGAACAAATGCAATGGAACAAGGGTTCAACGAGAAACCTGGAACCAGGTATTCTTGAGGAGATGGATTTTAAGAAACCTAGATACAGTAGTAGTGACGTTAACAATAATGATGAAAAACCACAAAACACAAAATCAATATTCCCCATGTTTGTATCCCATCAATCCTTTAAATATTTTGTACAAAACAGTGAACTTCAGGAATTGTTCTCAGTAGAAAATTCTCTTTTAAAAAAATTTGTGCAAGCTAAAGTGGATACTCTTCAATTCAAACCTTCAGCTGAACCTCATACTGAACACTCTGCAGAACTAACGTGTAAAAAGTGTCGCCAATTTTTTAACAAGTATATAAAACTTACTGAATCTCAAATCAAGTCCTTATCTCATACAACTATTTCACAAAGTCAATCAGAACTGTGGCATAACAGTAGAAAAATTAGAATAACAGGCAGCACTGCTCACAAAGTTCCAATCCGTGACACTACAAATAGTGATAACTTCATTAGAGAGCATTTATATCCTTCCTTTAAAGGCAATAAATTCACAAAACATGGACAGATTGGTGAAAAGCTTGCAAAACAACAACTGCGTTTGGCTGGAATACAAATAGAAGATGCAGGGACCATCGTTTCAGGTGAAGAGCCCTGGCTCAGTGTTTCCCCCGACGGAATAATTACTGAAGATGATGGCACACAATGTCTTTTAGAAGTAAAATGCCCAATACTACAAAATGACCAGACCCTTGACAGTTTATTTACAGCTGGTAAATATGACGTTGTAAAATCATTGCAAAATGATTCTTTGTCCCTAAAGCAGAGCAGTTCACGAGGATATTATCTTCAGATACAATTGACTTTGCATGTTACACATCTAGAATTGTGCAAACTTGTTATATGGACAGCTAATGAATACAAGATCATTGATGTTCAACATAACCAACAGTTCTGTCAATCATCAATTTCAAGGCTACGTTTATTTTACTTCAACAAACTTTTACCCAGAGTAGTTGATGACTTTGAATCTGGAAGATTGAAGATTAGTAAAAAATATGAAAAATTTTCAAACTGATGCAAATAAAACTTGTTTCTAACACAAAATCAAATATCTTTTCATTCTGAGGTAATCATTTATTACTAAATACATGTGTATAATATGTACACATTTTTTTTAAAGTTTGGTGCCACATCAAAAAATCAATGTCTGATAAAAAAGTAAATTCAAATACTTAGTGGAAGTGTGGAGGTTAAGAAGCCTAAACAGTATTTGTTGACAGACATGTAAAGATTAAGTGTGCATGAATGTACCCATAACCGGTACTTAACTTCACATGAATGGAGTTTCAAATGTTTTTTTTTTTTTTTAAATGAACAAAAGAAATTTGTTTTTTTTTTCTGTGTAAAAAATACTTGTACTGTGATCAAAATTGAATTAACATATTAAAATCTTGGCAAACCATTGATTGGAAAATAAGTGAATTTAGATTTCTTATCAGACATAAAACTTTTTGACTCACTCCATTGTTATGCGTAATAATTTAAGAAATCAGTCAGAATGGTTTTTACCTTAATACAAATGATATATGCCCAAGCACAGTATCTTTTTTAACAAATATTGGTGCAAGTTACACTGACAAATATTATAATAATGTGAAAACATAATGTTATTATAAAATAATATCCTAATGCAACCTGCTGATGCAAAGATAATATAAACAAAATTGACAGGTATAAACTGATTGCAGTAGTGTATAGGGGTGGGACAATACATAGATCTTGAATACAACATGATAATGTTACATATCTAAATACATGCTACATGATACAATACAGATCTTGATAATATAATTAATAAGAAATATGTAGCCAATTAAAAAACTTTATATTTTATTTCATTTTATTTTTTCTTTAAATGGACAAATTTTTCTACATCAAATCATGGTCTTTGAAATCAATATTTGATGTTCATAAATTTCTTTGATTAGAAATTTACAAAAATAATATAAATTGTACATATTGCCAAATGTCTATACACAAGTTGATTACAAATAGTAGTGTAGTTTATCAAGCACATTTACTAAAGATTCATTTTTAAAAAGTCATGTACATTGATATTGATTAATGAAAGTCTGTAACCAAGTTGAGTTTACAAAAAAAAAATTTCAAAAGGTTGTTTGAGAAATGTTTCCATCTGATACTTTAATGCATGTATTCTAAACCGTATCTTAGATAATAGTATATATCAATGTATCGTCCCAACCCAGGAGGTGAAAGCTGAATTTCATAATTTCACCATAATCATTATTTACTCATCATCATCTTTGATAAGGTCAGATCTTAAGTTTACCAACGCAGCACAAACAATCAAGTATTTACTGAGTTTCTTCACCGAGGTAACTGGAACTATCTGACTCAATATGCGGAAAACCTTTAATCGTCTAATAGCCCGTTCAACGTGAATCCGTACCGTGGCAATTCTTCTGGTCTCTGTAACATCCTCTTCTGAAAGTTGGTCTTTACCTTTTGTAAAAGCTGGAATGTTAAGTTTCACTTTCAGAGGAAAGAGTAGGTCATCGATGGTAAAACCTCGATCGGCCATGATTTCATCCCCAGGAAAAAGGTGGAAGCCAAACTATTAAGTTTTTAAGTTTTGAAGCCATAAAAGATAGTCTTTGATTAAAAATATTGCATGCATGAGACTCAGATATACCAAATCTGTTGGCAATATCTGCAAACAGTAAATTAAGCCTTAATTTAATAAGAACTAGTAAGACTTGATCTGACACAGGCATAGTAAATGTCAGTGGGTTGTTCAAACTTTCCATAACACGCAAAAGAGTTCTAAAAGTCTTTAACGGCAGTCCTGTGTAAAGCAAGGCTAAGGAGTTGGTAGTTATGTCAGCAGCACTGAGACGTACGTGTAAGGTGTTGCAGTTTACACCTTTTTCCTCCATCTTGATGACTCTTGTTTGTGTACCTGAATTCCTGGATCCTGCAAGGAATGTTCTTGCATATTCATGTTCACACAGTGTGAGATCCGTCCACTGTGTGCCTGCAGATCTGCTTTCTGTCATGCTCGTCTGCACAGAAGAAGATGTCATGTTTGGTTCAGTTTGAATGTTGAAGGTTTCGACTTCATCTGCAGCAGTAGCAGCCAGTTTTTGTTGTTTTATAACTTCTGTCCTGCAAAAGATTTACAGTATAATACAAGAATTGACGAACATGAAAGCAAAATCATAAATTTCAAGTTCTATTAATAGATAATTTAATTTTAGTTGTAACATGTCATTTGATTGGTAAAACGGTTTTATCCATTTTGTATAACATAACTTGCCTACGTCACAATGAGTTAGGTCAATAACGTATTAATCCACTTGACGTTAACATTTAAAATATGCAATATTTGAAGCCTTTAACCAAAGGAAAATAAGGAAAAATTGTCTCATTGTCATTATTGAAATAAAATTATAAAGGTATGAAGCTTATTTCAACTTATGTTATACGATATAACATAACTTTGGGCAGTTTATGCTTTATACACCGCGAAACATAACTTGGGGCAGTTTACGCTTAAGTTTATAAACCGCTTCACGGTTCACAAAGTGTAAACTGCCCAAAATTATGTTATATCATGTAACGTAAGTTGAAATAAGCTTAATTTTTTAAATAGAGTTGTAATGATACAGGAATATATTGATTGTAATGATCCTGAGTTTCAACAATACGCATATCGTAAGATTCATCTTTTCAGAAAGTGATAGCAGAAGTTTCCTTTACAATAAAAGTTAAAAAAAAACAAAACAAGATGGCGCTCGAAAATGACCATTATGACCACTCTCATCGAGTATCTCCACATATTATACGGGGTAACTATCATACTAACTTATTTACATTTGGAAGTGGGGAGGGGGACTAATCTGTTGCTGTCAGGTATCTCTAACAATAATATCTAATTTTCTGAAATTATTTTCAATGGCAGCACTACAAAATATATATTTATCTCTGCTCTTTCATTATTTGGAGTCACACATACCAGGCACGTAGCATCGTTTTTGAAAGTGGGGGGGCCAACCTGAGAAAATTTTTTTACTTACCTAAAAAAAGTTGACAAGCAAAAAAAAAAAAAAAAAAAAAACACCAAACTCGAAAATCCTATTTCGGGGGGGGGGGGGGGGGGGGGGGGGGGGTAGTGGCCAACTTTTTATCAAGGCAAAGTTCCTTTCATTTTCAATTTTTTCCTATATTTTCTTATTATGTATATACTGTGGTAAACAGTGGGGGGGGGGGGCAACTATCTTTTCAATAGACATTCTCTATAGTAAAGATACTGTTGGGGAAAAAAGGGGGGGGGCCAGGCCCCCCTGGCCCCCCCAGATACAACGTGCCTGCATACCCATCCGTCTTTTGTTCTGCAACAAACTTCCTTTTCAAAAGTCGACGACCAACTTTTATGGGAGCTTCATAACCTGTAAAAATTTTCGACATTAAATAGACAAAATCTAGCAGCATTTAACTTGTACATAGATCACTGAACAGATGAATAAAGGGGGTATGGTTGTATCAAACGACCACCTTACCACTCTGAGTATCTTGTGCATAAACATAAATTGTGCAAGCTATATAGTAGTTACCATTTTTTCTTGAAACCCACGTTCAGTTCGCTTTAAAAATTTAAAACTGTGCATATCAAAACAAGAAAATATAAGGCATGTAAACTATATACTATAGATTATATTTTGTGCTTGCATTTACAAATTATTTTAAAACGTGGTAAGGCACAATAAATTAATATTATGCCTTGTTTGTGAATGCGTCGTTGCAAGCTTCGTTCTACTTTCACTTTACATGAATGTCAAATCTATTTTTAAACATTATGTATGCAGCTTTTTTATGTTATAAACAAACCTAAATTCAGACTGGGTATGGGATTTCTTGCAGTTGGTCGCCCATCTATAAAATGTGTTGAACATACAAACACATTCTTCGGCAAATCATTGCGATGCAGTGCTCGTTGCCATTGAAGTTTTTCGGGCTCCGCTTTAGGCATCTTGTGAAGGCTGTATGGAACAATGCACGGACAATCTTTGTGGAGAATGTCACCGTGAAGTTTGCAGATAGACTGCTTCCACAAATAAATTTTTTTCTGTTGTTAAAACAGTTAAATACCGCACAAGATTCACCCCCTCCATCTTTAAACATCTTTCACGGCTCACGGGTTTCACGGTTGTAATGGCGGATGCATCACGTGACATGTGATGGCTACGCTCTGTAACTATGACGTAATTGCGGGAAAAAGTTGTGTATATGACTACACTGTATTTTCTGCAATAAACAGATAATTTCATTAAAACCAAGGCACGTTTATCATTCGTTTAACTTTTGTCGTTTTTCTCGCGGGAACGTTGCTTTAAAGTAAGTGCACGAAGCGATGCACTGTGGGTCAAAATAACTGGGGGAAAAATGCTATGGAATGAATGTGCAGAAGTCCGAATGTCTCTTCGCCCAGGCGTTGACGTTAGAGCTCGGAGTTACGAGCGTCGCTTCGCGACGCTCGCAGTGCTCGCTATAAAGGGAAAACTTAAACACACGAGCTAAAGTATATTGAAGACATGTACGTAGTTTATACACATGTATGTTTTACTACGCAGTAAATTCGAGACGTCGAGTCTCAATTCTGATATCTAGACACCTCGGATATCTCGACATTTCCCGACTGTTCCGCCGATGTCGAGATAACGAAGTTTACCTGTATAGTTAACAACGTTAATCTATATTTTACATCTGTAAACCATAGTTAAGGCGATAAACACCGAAAACAATTATTTTCGATTGCAAAACATAGATTATCTGATAAATACAGTTTCACGATTTTTAAACTATGGTTTACAACTCTTAGCTATAGTTTACGATCGTAAATTATAGTTTACAGACGTGAATCTATATATTTATTTATCATCAAAATCTATTTTTAACGTTTTATTACAGACAGGTACACTTAGATTAGCATTCGTAAACTATAGTTAACAACCGTTAAATATAGTTTTACAGATGAAAACTAAAGTTAACGAATTGTAAACTATAGTTCACGGTTTGTGAACTATTATATAGTATACAGTCGATAAACCTAGTTTATTAATTGTGAAACTAGGTTTAGCTCATTTGTATGAATTTGGCGTGTCATAGCAACTATAAAGGGGGATGTACCAGCCATATTGGATTTAGTCTGGTGTAAAATAAGAAATACCAAGAATGCGCTTAATACTTTACCAAACTAGCCCAAACTTACTTAAAGTGCTAATGCACTCATTGCAGCCCGGAGGACCGGGCTGCTCTATTCATATAAGTTTAAGTGTTGGTATATGGGGATTGAGCTGGAAGAAGTTATTCAGAATTAAAGGTTTTCTAAACATTAAAAAGATTGTCAATCAGAATGTTCTTTCCCTTTATAAATTACTAAATACATAATATATCTATTTCCATAAAGTGAATTTGTAAACAAATATTTGTTTTTGATATTTAATATATAAAGTTGCTTCTATAGAAAAAACCGCCAGTTCCCTTATTTTAGAACATCGAATTTTCCTAATCGCATAAAAACGTTATCTACACAGATCGTGTTTAATATTTTCAAAGTGAAATATACATGCACATTTCTAATAATAGGTATTGCATGAGTCTAGTTTCAATTTATATTTTATGCATCCAAGATTTACTTAAAGAATTGATACAATTTTAAACGGACCTTTTTGTTCGATTTTCATCCGACTTTAAGTTTTCAAAATACTCTCCACTCCCTATTGTCTCTGTCATTAAATTTGGACGCATGCTTTTTTCACACATATTGAAGCGGTTTAATGATCAAGACTCGTTTCCATTGTTTACTTTATTTAATTCCCGAGCGACAATTGATGGTTACATCAATGCTTTCTTGTAACCTACTGTTGGAGATCAAAATTAGTAAATAATTAAGTTTATTTTTCTTTAATTAGGAGGAAATTAATCATGTTTGAACTGCGCAGCTACAGCATTCACGAAATGAAAAATACATTGAAAATGATGTCAGTTCGGTTCATTGATAATATGGCTACATCCATTTGTTTCGCTTTTTTCTTGTCATTATCCATAATTCTTGAAAGTTTTATTCTTCATATGGGGTCTTCCTGAGGCCATGTGTTCATTACGTTCGCCATTCCTCTGTCACACAGAGTTCAAAATTGAAATAACATTGATTTTAGAATAAATGCGACCATAACAACATAAAGACAAAAAATTAATAAGTAATATTCCTTAGGTTACATAACTTTCTTATTTAATTTGTTGCATCGCATCGTCTGATTAATGAAAAACGCGATTTTAATTCCCACTCCAGCAAATCGGGAAAAACTGTTCTGTATAAAAAGCTCGAGTATCCTCAATCATATCATTCAGCTGAACACGTGGTTGGTATGTTCATATATCTGCTGTGGATAGATGTGTTTATTACCATTATTATATTTCATTTTTTATGGAACAAGTCTTGATAATTTGTTGGTTTCTTTAAAACTAAAGAAAAAAGTTTTTAAAAAAATTGCCTAATAGAAGTGTTTACGGCGGGTCTCTTTTCTGTGGCAATAAAAGTTATTTTTTAATGGGGCTCTAAAGGGAGGATGGTTAGCTTTTAATTTGAAAATGATAAACAATATGCGGTGCATTAAAAACAAATTGTAATTACATGTATTATATTCGAAAAGTTGGTACATATGCATGTCTATTCTGTTTAGCAGTTAGATAGAAAAAATACTCAGAGATAGGATTTCCTTCAGGCACCTCGCATAAATACCTAGATTGTTTGCGATTGTATGGAGTTATGTTTGGACATAAAACACACCATATCTCATTATGATGACGAAGTTGTAAGCTTTCACCAGCATACGAAGTTTGATAAATATTCTTTCTTTGTTTGTTATTACTGGAATTAACGGAAGCAGCTGTTGCAGAAAAAATACATTACCCGCGTAAGCGGGTTATGTAATTTTTTTCTGGAATAGTTGCGACCATTAATTCCAGTAATAACAAACAAAGAAAGCATTTTATTGTTTATATTTATATCTGTTTAAATAATAATTTAAAGAAGGATCAAAAAGTTTAATAATTATATTAATGATGCGAACGTCTTTATACGTTACATTGATGGAACAGCCACTGATCAAGAAATCTGTACAGGCGACATGCCTAATGTAGTTCACGCAGTGATTAACGCAATGGGTTTTCTTACGAAATAAAGGAGCAAATATTCAGCGGATATTATTACTATAATTACTTTAAGCCACTCTATAACACAATGCCTCTTTTAAAGGTGTTCATATCATTTGAAACATTTTGCAACTGTAATTCTCTCCTACTTTTTAGGAATATTATGTGCCTCCATATTAAAGCTGAACACGATTCGTAAAAGTATTGTGTCCGCCATTTTAGTTCTCGAGACTCGCTACTCTGCAGACCCCTATAAATAGGGCAAGATTTAGAGACTGTTCAGTTTAATCAGTCGACACCGGAGAAGACGGACGTATGCTATACAGGACTTGGTAGCTAGAATAATAACGTAATACTTCGTCTAATGCAGGGAAGTAAGATACCAAATAAATTTATAATTATAGGTACATAAGTCTGTTCAGTATACAAACAACATAGATAAACGTAACTGCAATAAAATATAAACAAAGGTAATGCAAGATAACCAGCACGAACACGGGTCGCCATTCCACGACGATACCTGTGACAATAAAGCAGTCAGGTGTAACGAATACGACCATTATACCCTAGTATTGATGTATCGTAGATAATGCTATCAAAAATGGCGTAAGCCTATTTACGAGTCGTGTTCAGCTTTAAGTATAGGTCTTTAAAAAAAAATCTGTGCTAAAAATAGACCACGTGCTGCTATCCATGAACTACTTTCATGGCTCTTTACACTCATTTTGAAGACAACAGTACCTTGTTTTGAACTTGGGATTACCATTTAAGTCCAAAATTTAGACATTTTCTCAACAAATGGTTGCAGAGAGAACATTAATGCACACTTTGCATTTTTTTTTTTTGGATTTTTTAAGGCTCTGCTGAATTCTGTAGCTGCGCAGCTCTAAGGAGCATATCAAAAGCATTTTTCTGCAAAAGTATAGATTATTGTCTTTCTGACATACTTTCTATTTATCAATAAAAATATGCATTATGACTACTTTAAAGTAGTCATAATGCATATTTTTATTGATAAATAGAAAGTATGTCAGAAAGACATTATATATATGCACAACAAGCATTTAATTATGCATATTTATTGTATCTTTATCATATGGACTTAAAAGTACAATGAAGCGCATTGAATTGAAAAAATTTTCCATTTGGGCGAAACGTTACGAGTCATGTTTTGAACGTCAATTATAAACATAACGACACGCCCATTTCTTTATCTAGAAACGAGAAAGGAATATTCGTCGTAATGTTTTAGGACACTACACTTTCCGCGACAAGTAACATGATTTACATGTACACTGAAATGAAGATTTTTAAATAAGAAAGATATATGCATAGAGTTCCCGCTTATGTAAAACACGCATTGTACATTGTACATAATTAATATGATTTTATCGTGCTTATTGGAGTTAGCATAGCACATGTATCAGTCGAACACGTGCTTACTCGGTGTTTAAGTAAACCGTCAATCTCATTGGCTATTATATTTATTAAATACCTGTTCTTCAGGTATTCGATGGAATCATTTGACCGAATTTTTCTTTTCTAAAGATATGGGCGTGTCCAAAGATAGCTCAAAACTTTCCATCCAAACAGAAAATTTTACCACTGCAATAGTTCAATGCGCTTCATTGTAGATTGTCATGCTTTGGAACTCATTCATTTGATTGGAGAACTGTATGACGAAGACATCGTCACGTGATGAAAATTGCCTTCCATATAAGGTAGTGGTCTCGACCCGTCTAAGCAAGCTTTCGATGACAAACGAACCTAGTGCGCTCGTCGCTAACTACTCGGTCTATTGAGATACAGGTAGAATACAGTTATGGTGGAATGCTACACAAAAATTTTATTAAGGTCTTCCGTTTCCAACGGAAGACCTTTTACTGATTCTGTTGGTAAAGATTATTATTCTTTTTTTTCTTCTACTTCCTAGACGCCTACTTTGAGGCCTCATCTCTCACTCATTTATCATCTCACTCAATAAACTCTATCAGA